AGGACTCTGTGCAATATCACACTTTCTTCCCTGCAAGGATTCAGGCTGCCTTTGCACTCAGTTCAACAACTTACTCTTTCCAAGCCAGTGGATCCATCCTGGATTGCATCAGGGAGCAGGATGATCATGCTCAGTTCATTACCMACATAGGGGAGCTCAAGGATTTTGGTCTGGAAGTCCCCAATATAGGTCATGTTAAATCTGTCTGTCTTGAACATCATCTGCACAGGTCTGGTCTCATTCTAGAAACACAGAGATATCAACAGTGAGTGCTGAACTGCTCTGCTGGTCTCAAACTATGAAGCACACAGCCAGTTACTCAGGGCCTTTCAGAATGTGCCCAAAGAGAACTGATCACACACCACAGAGTATAGGCACCATATTGTCTTTTGTAAATTACTAAAAATCCCTGAGTTGTAAGTTTTAACTGTCAATGTAGAAATGTCTGTGAAGATTCCTTTGAGGCAAATGTGTGTCCTTGCCCTTCTATTCACATAAGAGCTAGGACAATTTACAGAGCTGATAATAAGTAGGAGCTATGTTCTTCGCTATAAATGGGTAAGTAATTTCAGTGTATGTATTTTCWTTTTTAGTCCATGTGGTTTCAAGTGCTACAGCAAAGAACTGAAATATTTTTAAATGTATATACTAAAACTACCATGCAAGTGAGCGCATTGCTTTGTATTATCAAAAGTTCTATGTATATTAACGAGGCAAGGAATTTTATTCTCATTCTCTACCATCTCATTCCACTTGCACATGGAGCATCAGCTACTTTTGTTTACATCAGTATTTGCCCTCTTTTCAGTTTTACTGCTTTCTCCCTTAACTTTGTGCGATTATCACAAAAATGGGCCTCTTTTATTAAACGAATGCCATTGGAATAATGCCCAGCAAGAATATGGCAGAAATTATTTTTCAGTGCAATGGCACATAAAAAGTATCAGTAGGCAAAAAAAAGTCACACAGCAAGTGAAAATCATCCAGCGTATCATAAAAAATGCAAGAGTCGCAGAAAGCATTTCACAGGATGTTGAAAAGGTTCCTGGGATGTTAAAGTTACTCTTTACTACACAAGAGAATGTAAAATAGCTAGCTTAAGACTTCAGCTTACACCTGGTATTTACAATTGTTCATTGAAGACAAGGTGTCAGGAACCAAGTAGTCCAGCAGTTTCTGAAGTGCTGTTGTAGAGACTATGTGGTTAGCAKTAACACCCCTTCATTTAAAAAGTGCTAGTGTCACTTTAAAACATTCTTGAGTTTATTTCACCACTGGGGGAGAGACAGTTTCAGCACCAGGCATAAGGGTTTCAATTTTACACAATATTTGTTYAAAGCAGTGAGTCAAGGAAGGCACATTACCAGTACTTGTTAATGACACTGGGCCAACCCAGAGCTGCAGGGGATCCTGCCCATGACAGTAGCCAAATCTTCCTCAAGAGCACTGATCAACTTCTAAAAACAACAKGCAGAGCACAGAGGTGTTCAAAGGAAATTTGTTTTCCATTTATAYAGGATTGGCTCAGAGGCAGAAATGCAGCAAGAAAACTCTGACTGAAGAGGACTTAAATTCTCAAGTTTTCACACCTGTCTTTGTGCTATATGAAAGGTTCCAGTGATTTTGTGAAAGTTCAGAGAAACTCAGCAAAGACAATGTTCCTGTGAAAGGGAGGGGGCATAAGGAATTGCATACAGCCAACCCATTGTATCCCTGCACRAAAGATTTAGCTTCTCCTTAAAGGTGTTCAYTTCAGAGTACCTCAGACAAACAGCCTTTGCCGGTCAGCATTTTAGCACATCATACCTTATTAATTTTGAACGGTCTTTCTGTGGTACTCTCTTTCTTGAACTGCTTTTCCCAGTTGCCTTTGAAATAGATGGCATTCACCAACACAAGTCTGGTCAGSGAATCCAGAATCCCCTCTGCCAACAGGTTCTGAATTTTACCTTTATGACACAAAGGAAAAAAGCCCACAYTCTGTAATAGTTTRACACAGATCTAATTATCCAAGACACCATCTACTCTGCAATTAATACACAACAGAAAACAATTATATACCGGATAGACCATGAGCTCAGCATCTGGGCTGTTTGAATTCACAKCCTTATATCCTGAAATAGGTCTTCACCCAAACAATGGCTGCCATTAAACACAACTGGACACTGGSMACTTTGCACTCACCTTCAGTCCTTTCCTCTACCCASTCATTGATTTGTTTCCTGGAGTTCTCCCAAGCATGAATGAAGTCGGTCTGCTCTAGTCCAGCATGGTAGCACTTCTGACTCAACTCTATAAACGACTGACAGGGACATTCATAACACATTTTCAGAAAGAGATTTTATTCTCAGACATAGATGATTCTTACATTTCCCAAGRAAATCTTCCTGCTTTCTTCCCACARCTTCATACAGAGCRAGTAAAGTTCTGACAAGTTCCTMATAGGATTTATACCACTACTTTGAWCTAGGAATTTTTATTAAATGAAATGGCTTATGTACTGTACTATAAACTTGTACATAATTTCATCGTAAATGATGTACCTATTTTTTTTCTTGTTTTTATTTTATGGTTCAGTAACATAACRTATGATTTTATGAGTTTGTTCATAAGACTTTTGCTAAGGGAGACATCAGCCATTTGTGGCACACCCACACATATGAATGGATSACAGAACCTCAAATGTACTGAGGGATTCCACTCTGCTTTGCAATATTCAGATCACAAGTTATCCAAAAGGAGATTCTCCACCAAGTTCAGACAACAAGCTCTGGCATAAGCTATTGCACCCCTGGCTCTTAGCACAGAAAATTTGGAAGACAAACCCCAAAGGCTGCCTTTGACCTCCAGAGCAAAGATGTAGCAGGTACATTTTCCTAAGAAATGCCACAAATTTAACGGCTACTTACTGGAAGAAACTCAAATGTCTTTTCTCCGTAAAGCCGATTTGCAGTTCTCAGAATGTATTTGGTGCTTGGATCATTAATTTCAGAGAGAAGGGATTGGTAGCCATTGTGAGCATCCTGGGCTTTGTTCAGAGAAAGCACCTGCACRRARACAACATCCTCAGTGCTTGTACAAGTAATAAATTAGGGAGCAGAGAGTCAGCAGTTTTGATTTTCCTTCCCTCAGGCCAAGCACTACAGAATCACAGCATGGCTGAGGTGGGAAGRCATCCATGGAGACAATCAGGTACAGAGCCCTGCCCAAGCAGTGACACTACAGCTGGCAGCCCAGAACTTAGTCTAGATGGAATTTGAGTATCTCCAACTACGGCAACAATGTAAGTTTTTGAGAAACTTTTATACAAGTAAATGGAGAAAAAATATGGGGTTTTATTTCTCTCCCACTTTGCAAAAGAGCCAAATATCACAATCAAAATGACTGATCRTGCACTTAATATTGTCAGTTCATACATAAAACATACAGAAAGTCATATCCACTACCTGAGCAAGTTTAAATCAAAAAAGTGTAAACCAAGGTAACAGTTTGACATTCAGTCACTGTGGATTTGTTATGTGTCTGGCTACATTTTGAAAACATATATTGACTGACATTAAGYCCAAACAAGAAAGCAGAAGATAATATTTTAAACAGCCAGAGATTGATCAAGCCAATCAAAAAAAACCCAGAAAAACACATACCTTCTAATTACATATTAAAGAAGAAYGGTCTCAAAAACTAAAGAAACTCCACAGAACAAAACCCAAGAACCTCTACATTTCATACTGAAGGTATCTTCCCTTTTAAAAACAATGAAAACAGGTTCTGCTTACACACACACCAGAGGAAGAGCTCTGCTCTCTCAGACCACTGTGAAAATCACAGTTAGGCACAAGTGCATGTCACAGACTGTAAGACACAGCTCTTGATCATATGTTCCCAGCAAATGCCATCCACTACGTTTATTCTGACCTACCTTTGTTATTTCAGCTTCAGTGCTACCTCTTGAACCCAACAAAACCATAGACAAAGCAGAAGAAAGGCTCAGTGGGGAAAAGAACACATTCTGCCCAYTTTTCTTCTCACACAGCTTTCTCAAGAGGTCCAGTGCAAAAGTGGCATTTGCTGCACAGAGACTTTCCATGCTTCAGAGCCTGAGATATAAATCACAGAACAAAAATGGATCAAACTTACATGAATACCGAACAGTTGTTTCTCCCTTTTACACTTCCCAGCATAAATTGGGGAGGAAATGGCATAACTGGGTTGGAAAATTATCAGCTCACTGGAGAATAATTTGGTGGCACAAGCACCTGAAATCCCAAGCTACACATTTGAGTTATTTTAATGAATTAGAGCTTGTTTCTGGTTTTCAATCCTGTACCTACAGAGTGTGACATCTTTTGAGSTGATCAGGCACAAACAGCACTTTGTTCAGAAGTTACTGAAAGAAGTCTCTCTCAACTTCACACAGAAAATACTTTGCCTTTATAAGGCAACCAGAGCCAAAGTTAGATATCAGAACGGCAGAATCACCAACTCTTACCTTCTGTATCTCTATAGACCTTCCGTAGTACCTTGAGCTTGCTCCTACCCCTGAACACTGGGTTTTAAAGGTACCAGCCAGGAGGGAGAAGTCAGTGGAATGACTTGCCCTACAAGATAAAAAAACCAAAGAAAAAAATTTATTTCACCAGCACGACAGATGACTGCAATTTCCTGCTGAATTACAAAGAAATCAAAGTTCATTTTTAGTTTTATTGCCTACAACATTGCAACACCCACCATCATAAACTCAGTGCTTGTCATACTCTGCAGACATCTGCTATAGGTAGTGAACCTGAGATTAAACACCACACCCAGTAAATGAGCAATAAGTAGTAGAACACTGAGTTAACCACAGATAAGTATCGTAAGTCATCATAAGAYATATGCTGATAGTTTTTACTATCTCTGTGCTTCGTTCTTCCCTAAAGGCAGAGCCTAGTGTTGATATGTTGCTACCAAATACAAAACCATCAGATAATTCATATTACTGATTCATTGTCTTAGACAGGGAGGTGAAAAGTGCAAGTTTCTGCATGCATGCTCTTCCGCCAAGAAGACTTCTTGCTAGTAGCTTTACTACAAAGAGTAGCAATTTTCTCCTATTTCTCTAACTAGAAAATAAACAGCCAAACAAAAAAAAAAATCAAGCTTAGATGAAAAAACCCAGACAATCGTCCAGTTGTGGCCAAGTGAGTAATTTATGGACTGTACACATAAGTAGGAGACACATAGCATTTGTAAAGGTTACAGTGTGAACCAGAATTTTCCTCCTGTCCCAATACCTGCAGATTGCTAGAAATAAGGGATTTTTGACCTCCACATCAAAACACATAGGAATAGTGAGAGCAGCAAACAGCTACCTTCTTAAAAGTGTTTGTAGCCCTTCCACGACAGGCAAGAATTTACAGACAAAAAGATGCAACTGACACTATTTACCTGTCTGAAGATCGGGAGCATTAAACCAAATTATAACTAATATTCAACAGCTAGGACACAAGGCTTCAAGTTATAGCTGCACAGTAAACTATGCTTTCTCTGCAGCTCAGGGGTAGTGACATGACTACAGACACCTCTTCTCATCAGAGACAATACACAATATGGAATCCACAGTTTTGGAGACAATTACACAATGACCACACTTGCAGGAACAAAAAACCTCATGACACAAGTACATGTTTGTTGGTCAATTGTAAACTGCTTCAAAGCCCTCAGTGGTCAGAGGGTTTGCTGATAGCAACTCCTTCCTTGCTCTGCTGTCCCCATGGCTCTGCAGGTCAGCAGTGAGGCACTCGTGGAGATTTTGGCATGCCCAGACCCTCTGAATTTGATGCATATATTCTCAGCAGTTGACAGCYATGCTTTAGGACAGTGTTTAGGGACCGAAAAACTGTGCKTGGATCAGTCAGCASATAACCACTGCAGGGCCTCACCATKCGAAGACCACAGGAKGGTGCAGCTCTCCTCTARCCCGTGGCCAGAGAGACCCTTCCARTCAAAACTATTACATGGATCAGTGTCCAGCGTACGAGGACACTTCCTCACATTGTGTCAGCTGCATCAGAGGAGTCTCAAGCCAACTCTTTCAAACACAGCCCCAGAGGGAARTCAAGGAAATGAGCACCAGGCCGTGTCCATCTCCACAGAGAAAGCTGTCTGCAGCACAGACACCCCTCTTCCCACCCGCTGGACCAAAGCAGGCTTTTCTTGAGGGAAAAGGCTTCATTTAGGCTTTGGAAGTTAGGAGCGATGCTAAAACACCTGCAGGATCGGACGGCGGACAGCTCCCGGTGATGGCCCTTGGCGTCACAGCTCTCCAGAGGCAGACCCTGGGACACGGGGAATTTCATGGCCCTGCCCTGCCCAGCTCCCGGCCCTAGWGCCTCCGGAGGAGCGGGGAGCGGCAGGGAGGAGCCTGACACTGCCCCAGCAAGCTGAGGCACAAGAAGCCAAAGGTTTGGCCCTCCCTGGAGCGAAGGGTTCCTCCTCCCCCGCCCGGGCTTATCCCCATGGGAAACGTTCCAACTCCGCGTCCCCTGGGTGCTCCCGGCGCACCTCGGCGGCTCCAGCTGGCAAGAGGCAGCGATGTTCAGGGAATGTCACGAGGGAGGGAAGAAAAAAAAAAAAAAAAAAAAAAAAAAAAAAAAAAAAACTAAACACAACAAAAGCACCGCCACGCAGCTCTACTTCTTAAAAACCCCGCAAAACAAGAAAACCCAAAATAACACAGGCACAGGCTTCCCGTGGAAAGCCTCCAGGACAACGCAGCAACRGCAACGCGGCCGCGGCACTCACCCCGCCGGCCGCCGCGCTCCCWGTTCCCGGAAGGGCAGCCCCTCCCGGGATTTAGCCGGAGCCTGAGGCGATCCACGCTTGGCCGCCGGGAGCGGGCAGGCGCTGTAGCCCCTCCCGGAAAATGGCGGCCTCCCCCCGCCTCAGTGAGTCCCGCTCGCCGGCCGTGCCCTCCCTTTGCAGCTCTGCCTCCCTCTCGTGGCAGCGCTGACAGAAAACACCCCCGGCCCGTGACGGGTTAGTAATTATTGTTACTTATAGCTAGGATTGCTTTGAACAAAATTGAACYGTTGCTGTAGCCAGACATCTCACAGGCTTAACCCTTCGTTGCATTCCTGAGGGTCTGAGTGAAACAAATAGCCCTTAGAGTGGTGGGTTTTGTTGTTTTTTTTTGTTTTTTGTTTAATTTGTTAAAAGGAATTTGTGGAGCAACATGAGGGTAACTGGGAGCTGATGAAGGCTTGGAGCTGGGATGTGGAAGGAAAACAAGGGGGCGGCCACAGGGTGAAGGCTGGGAGAATGTGCCTCCAGCTGTAACACAAGGACGTAGTCTAGGGCTAAAATGTAGGAACTGGGTCTGATTGCTGCAGGCTGGGAGTWCATGCTAGGACCACATCAGGATAAGCAGCCTTCATCATGAGGGTGAAGAGAAGGATTGTGGCAAAATATATTTGTGCACATGCTGTGAGTGGGAGAGAGAGAAATGCCATAGCTTATAGTGACAAGGACAAAGCTACCCATGATGGCCTGATCCGAATGACAGCCAGGACTGCTCTGTGGATGCAAGGCATCACACACTCCCCGTGGCACTTCCATGGGCATCCCATCTGGGTAGGAAGGAATCACTTGGGGGGCTGTGCCTCAAGCACCAGGGTSTGTGGCCTGATGAAGAAGGGGTTCAAGTGCCACTCCCCCAGTTGCAGAGAGCTTCAGGTTTGGGGTTTGCCTCTGTGCTAGCAAGCGTCTCCTGCTCTGCAGGGCAGGCTCACTGACTAGGGTGAGCAAAGTCTGCCAAAGAAGAGGATGGTTTGTGATTTGTTGTGTCTGATGAAGAAGATAAAAGGATGGTCAGCTTTGAAAGTCATTGTTGGGACTCTTGATCTCATCATAAAGACACCTGTGGCAGCTGCTGCCTCGGTACCTTCCTCATTGACATCGACAAAAGCTTTGTGAATAACTTTTGAGATGAAAAGATCCTTCTTYGCTGACATCCCTGTGAAATCAGCCTGACCTGGGTCAAAAGCATTTTGTATCCCCATGCTGCTCAGAGTGGATTTCAGGTCATAATTCTCTTCCAGCTTCAACTTGGGCAGATACAGATCCACTTCAGCTTTCATCATATTGTCTGATTTGGTCCATTTAGTCAATTTCTCATAAGTCAGCTCTCTTTCCACCTGCAATGAGTTGAGGAAGAAAACAGTTGGAATGCAAAGGACAGAGACAAGACATGCACAGACCAGTGTCTTAATGCTCATGAGGAATGTGTAAAACAAGACCAAACAACCGGCAATGACTACAGATAGAACATGCATCACATTTACAGGGCATAATCCTAAAAAGTGCTGAGTGATTTACGCTCCTGTTTATTTTCTTAAACGTGGGGACATGTAGGTGTGAMCCCCCAGAGTAGTTTATTTTTTTTCCTCTGGTGTGAAGAACACTGCTTTTTTACAATGTGTGACTTATAACAACAATAATAGGTGCTTGATGTCTGTGTATCTGGATAAATTTTCACCTTATAGTGATGAATAAATGGAATGCATGGGAACTGAAGTACAAATACRAATATTTGCCCAACTCTGTTTAAAATCTGAAACTCATCCTGGCACAGTCAGGAGTGACTGTTGACACTCTCTGGGTCAGGGTAGTTTACACTTAGTTTGATAAACCTTATCACAGACTATCAGGTGCAAATTCAGACTGCAAATGACATAAAAATGAATTAATACAACCCTCAGGAGAAGATACCTCCAGGGCAGGGGGATTCAGGTGTGATCCTTGCTTTCCATATGGTATTCTGGCATAGGAAGTAGGATACAAAATAGGCTAGGACAGTTGTGTTGACATAGGTTTTCGGTGTACCRTATTTGCAGTGTTATCACATGCCCTGAATCCTAAACTGAGAAATCATGGTGTCACAGTTTCTGAAACAAAGTATGTGCACATCAGACCTATTCTACTGTGATTTTGAAGCTTGTTCTTCCTCACTCTTTTCATGTGTTTCTGTTACTATTTCATAGTGTATGTGATGTAACAGTAGGTCAGCTTTACCAGCTCCAGGCCAGTAGTGCTATCACTGATGTCATCAGGTAGAAGAATGAACATGCTGAGTTCATTTTCCACATATGGCAGCTCAATGATTCTGARTTTCCTGGTTGTTTCATGGAGTACCGAAAATTTATCTTTCAGAAACATCATCTGTACTGGTTTGGTCTTGGTCTGTGAAAAAAATCAGACATAAAAAATAACATTATTCATTAAAAGAATAATAATATTTWTTTGCTTCATTGAACTGAAAACAAGTACAAGACTCAGCATCATTTGTATACCCAGGACCCTTTGCTTTAGACAGTATCACATCCACCTCCTTTTCAAAGTCTTTGGGATCTTTATAAAAAATCAGCATAGACATATAGGCTAAATACCTACTAACTGAATCCCATGTAAAACGCTTCTTAATTTGAAATAAAGGAGTTAGCTTTGATCGTCAAGTAACTCTATTTGCAGGCCTTGCTATTCAYCCTGTGAATTAAACCCTCTCTGGCACCAATGTATTTGCATGGTAGTAGGGAAGCTGCAGGGGTGACTTCTGGGAGGAGACATCAGAAAATGCCTCTGTGTCAGGMAGAGCCAATTACAGCTGTCTCCAAGATGGACCTGCTACTGTCCAAATCTGAGCCAGTCAGTGACATGGGTAGTGCCTCTGTTACTATGTATGAAAGGGTAAAAACTGATGCACAAAMGCAGCTGGGAGTGCTAAGTGAGATGTGAGAGAAACAGCCCTGCAAATACTGAGGTCAGTGAGGAAGGAGGGGGAGAAGGTGTTGCGGGCACTGAAGCTGAGATTCCTATGCAGCCATGGTAAGAAAATGGTGGTGCAAATATCCACCCTACAGCCCATGGAGGACCCCAGGCTGGAAGAGGTGGAGGTGCCCTGAAGGAAGATGCAACTCATGGAGAGCCCATGCAGGAGCAGACTCCTGGAAGGACATGTGAGTCTGTGGAGAGCAGCCCACTCAGGAGCGGGTTTTCTGGCATCACCTGTGGCCCTGCAGTGGACCCCCACTGGAGCAGTTATTGAAAAACTGCAATGGTGGGAAGGACCCATATTGGATGTGAAGAACTGTATGCCATGGGTAGGACCCCACACTTGAGCAGGGGAAATGTGTGAGGAGGACGGGCTGGTAGAGACAGCATGTGATGAGCTGACTACAGCCCCCATTCCCAGTCCCCCTACACTGCTTTGGGGCACAGGTGGGAGAGTCAGAGTGAATTTGAGGCTGGTAGGAAGGGAGGGGTGACGGGGAGGCATTTTGTATTTGTTTTTATTTCACACTAACTTATTCGGAGAATTGGCAATAAAGTAAATTAATTTCTTGAAGTTAAGCCTGTTTTGCCTGGGATGGCAGTTGGTGAATGCTCTCCCTGCTCTTTTCCTGACCCATCACCTTTTCATCCTATTTTTTTCCTCGTGCCCTGTTGAGAAGGAGGAGTGATAGGGAGTCTTGGTGGGCATCTGGAGGCAGCCAAGGTCACCCACCACAAACAACTGCTGCGACAGATCCTAAAATTGCACATGTAGCATAGTAGGTTTCGGGGATAAAGTCACATCTATTGCTTCACATTGCCTGGCATACAAAAGRTATTTGCACCATTAATCTATGTCAAACAAATGCTTGCTTCCATTGATAAATAGTCTTGCTTTCTTTTGACGCAGTCCAAAAATATGCATGCAGTCAGCTACTGGGAATTGTCAGTTCATGGTGGTTTAAATACTGTTAGCTCAATGAATAGATCATCCTCTCACACTCAGCTAAAATGACAAACCCCATGAAAATCCCYGGTGAGGTTTGACACAACACCCAGGTTGTGTGTGGGAAGAGCAGCTGGATCAGTTCCCATGATTTCAGGGTCCCAAGAGCAGAAGAGAGCCCTAGGTGTGTAAACAATGCTCCCAAAAGCAGCTCGGTCCCATTAGAAAATGGGAAAATTGTACTTAGAGAAATTTCTTCTTGTCCTTAAGCTACTTTACTTAACCTGCCTAGCTTCTTTTTTTTAAACTTAACTCTTTCTCAAGTATTTTGATACTGAGGARCTATTAATTCAAAATCCAGTTTTCATGGATATGTGTAAATARGACAATGCTGACTTGTTTTCACAGTTGATATTCTCACTGAGTGTATACCACTTTCTCAACTACTGTTGCAGTGGCATGTGAAATTCAGGTGAAATATTTGCTCTTCAGTAATAGACGTATTGACGTATGACAACAGGTATATAGACGTGGAATTTACCTTGCTTAGTCTGAAGGGCATTTCAGATGTATTTTTCTCCAGAAATTTCTTTTCCCATTTTCCTTTGAAATAAATGGCATTTACTAAGACCAGCACAGTCCGAGAATGAAGAGATCCGGCGGGCAGCAGACTCTGTATTTTCCCTTCAAAATTGGACAAAGAGACTGTTATTCAAGTGCGACTGTGTAATTTGCCAATTTTAATTGTTCCTTGTCTGTGCCTACCTCTCTTTCAAAAATGTTTGCATTTTGGAGGTTTTTTTATTGTACATATTTTTATGGTGTACATATGATAAAAATGGCTTTTGAAATGGCTCTGTATCCTTTGTCCAGAGAAGCTGTGGATGCCCCCTCCCTGGAAGTGTTCAAGGCCAGATAATGGGGCTTTGAGCAAGCTGGTGTAGTGGAAAGTGTCGCTGTCCATGGCATGGGGATTGGAGGGAGATGATCTTTAAGGCACCTTCCAATGTAAACCATTGTATTAATTAATAATCAAAAAAAATATAATTATTGGCATTTTGGTAGTAAATGGCATTGGCAAGTAGGTAAAGCAGAGTAGCTTGGATGTTCTGTGAAGCTGCAGCTGAAGAATGCAGAAGTAAAACCCTCACTAATCATCGTGGAGCCACACAGTATCTGCCGATCATCCTTCCAAACAGCAGTGATTCAGAGGAGGCTACAGCATAAAGAACTGAGGGAAGAACCTTGCAAGGAGCAGCAGTTAGGTTGGAGAGAGGCATTCTTCAGATTATTTAGCTGTACTTTGCTCATTACCTCCCTCCSCTGAGTTTTATGGATCCTTGGCTGCAAGAGCAATGAATGTGGAAATACAAATTATTTGAAAGTGAAACAAGAAAAAAGCTGTAAGAGTGATACTTACCCTCAGTTTTATTTTCTACCCATGAATTGATCTGTGCTCTGACTTGTTCTGCAGCTGTCTTAAAGCTTACAGCTTGTGGCTTTGCCTTGTAATAGCTTGTAATGAGCTGTAAGAACTTCTGAAAGACAGGATTGGAGAATGTATGCTTATTTAGTTAAATATGAGTTATAAAAATGTTAGTARTAATCACTTTAAYAGRTTRGACAACCTGCTAATGCATAATTTAAGGAAATAAAATCTGTTTTATGTGCAATAACCATTATAATAAGGTCTGATACATCGTATTCTAAATATTAAGTGAGGACTGATCAAACTTCAGTCTCAAGGAAACTGGTACTTCAAATTTTTGTGTGTGTAATCAAAGGTAGAAATATGTGATTTTGAAATATCTACACTTTTTTTTTAAATTCTCAAAATGACATTTTTATATAATTGAAACCCTTTCCCCCCTGCTTTATGTAGTGTTCAATACAAGATAGAAGAATAGTCTCATATAAAGTTGAACAAAGGCTTTTAGTTTTCTTCAGAGGTGAGGAACCTGCCAAAAATTTCTGAGGATAATAAAAGGAATGTTCTGGTAGAATAGAGTCATGGAAGAAAAGCAGAATGAACATTTGCATTGTTGTCTGCTGTGAAATCATCCATGGAGATTCCCAGCAGGAAATTCCCTCGATTCTCTGTGAGGYAAATGTACATGAGATTATGGAGAAAATGAGCAATACATATTCAGAAAGACAAAATGCTAATTACTCTAGGAACCAAATAAATTTCAAAATCAAAGAAAATAATCTCATTTAAAACCMCTATCCAAGGAACTGGAAAATGATTAATACAACATCAGTTTTAAAAATAGTTCAAAGATACAGATAATTACAGACTCATGAGTCAGTGTTAGGCAAGTGAATAGAATAGGTATAGTGGGTGTGTGGATTAACGTGACTTGTTGGAGGTATCATGGGTGTGTGGATTAAAGTGACTTGTTGGAGGAGTGTCAACAACATATTTTAATAGGAAATCCAAAACCACAAATTGGTTGAAGTTTTCTGTGAGTGTTAGGAAGCATATGGGTTACAAGGCCAAGTAGTCCTTATGGATTACCAAACGGTATTTTGAAGGACTGCTCACCAAAGGCTGAGCACCCACAGAACTACAGAGATAGGTCTCGTTTGTTTAAAAGCCTGGAAACCAAGATTAGGAGGAAATAATGTTCACAATGAAGGGTTATTGCTGCTGCAGTACCACAGGGTTTTATGTACTGGGCTAAAATATTTTCTTCGATAAAACCAAAGTCTTAATGTTTACTTTAAAATATGTATGTTAACGTATTTATAGGTGATTCAGTGAAGTGTAAGGTATAGAAAGTGATTATTGCTGTTTAGGAATGAGGTATTGAAGTTATAATGGATAGGTAGATGAAAAAAATCTGCCTAATTATGGCCAAAAATGCAAATAAAAATTTCAAAACTCTGAAGGAAAGAGTAGACAACGAAAGAGAAATCTGTAAYGGCACTGTATAACACTGTGATGTGTCCACTGTCTGAGTTTGCAATGCAGCCGTGGCCTCTGCACTCTCAGAAATCCTACAGTATAAAACATACAGAGACAGGGATGMGATGTGAAGTGTGCTTTAGAATAGAAATGAACCAACAGCAATGCCAACAGGCTGCAAGCTCAAAAAGGGCAGGGGCTTCCTGCAGTGGATAGATCAGCTATGGAAATCTATCCTGCAGTGGATAGATCAGCTATGGAAATCCCGGTGTTGAGGGTTGAATTAGATTCAAACGACAAGTCTGCAAAGTCCTGAAACAACATCTCATCAGAGTCTATTAAGTGAACATGCCCTCTGGTTCAAAAAGCTCCTAGCTGCAGATCATCTGGTGGCCACAGCAGATTCTGAAGAAGAATCACTATGCAGTGTGCCTGTTTTTCTCATGCACTTCCCAAGCTATTGCCCAAACTATYGCTGGAATAGATGGACCTCTTGTCGGTCCAAGGCAAGCCCCATATGGCTGTTCTCGTGTTCTTACTCAAACCCCCGTGCTATCATTTGGACTTTTTGTATTGTCTCTATTCATAGTCACTCTTAATGTCTACATATTCTCAAGAAGATGTTCAACTCACGGGCAGTAATGGGTATGTCTTTTCCTCATAYAGCTGGTTGGCACTCTTCAGTAAGTAAGTGCTTCTGCGTTTGTTGATGGCAAACAGGAGTTTTTTGAAGCCAGAATGGATCTTTTTTGCTTCCTCATGCTCAGGATCCTTGGAAAGAGACACCAGTTAGTATGGAATTTTTTTTCTGTTGCACCTACTATTATAATTGAAATTTTTCATGTTGTTTTAATTAAAAAGGAGATTCAGGGAATTAAAYTTTTTTGAGTTTGTTGCGTGTTTGCAGCACTGTGTATAACTAGATACTTGGGTTTCTGCCTGTAGGGCAATGATTTGTTTCTGCMGGGCTGTGTAGGCATTTGGGGGCATTATCTGATGCTGCTTTCAGGAAGCGGAATCTCCTCATTTTTGTCATGCTCAGGCCTGATTTTCAGTTTCACAAGACCTTTCATTTTCACAAGGATCCATCAATGCAGCCTGGCAGCTTTTAAGTAGGTATTCTGTTCTCACAGACACTGATGACAGGGCATGAACTTACCAAGTATTCAAATTTTCTGTTTCACCTGTTATCTTCTGTTGCTGTTTGGATTTTGGAGGGAGCTTGTTCTGGATGTCAGTGTTGCTGKTCTTAGGGAGGATGAGCTTGCTTGCCAGCTGTTGCCAGCTGTTGATTTGCAAATGGAGGAATGAGCTACTACCTGCCAGCTGCTCCCCACCAGCTGCCTGGATGCAGTGTCCTCTCCCATGTCATGTACTGTGCCCTGCAYATGAGACACCAAGAGTCTCTGCCACTGACTCAGGGTGACTTGTCTGTCATTAGGTTGGTGAGGTGGCATTCCTTGCTATGATCTTTTCTCACTCATGCTGAGGTGTGGGCTGCTAGGAARGACACCTAGGAAAGAATTTGGTAGCCAGAGGACAGAGGATAGCTGAGGCTGAGTTTTTCAGTGGGGTGGGTACGGAATGAAGAGGTGATAGAGGGAAATATCTGAAGGACAAGACTAAACAGATTTTGCTACAACTTATGAGGTCAGTGAATTGCTAAAATAAATATGAGTGCAGTGATTAATCTTGAAGAATTCTCTCACACCATCAAGGGAGAGAATTATATAATCCCCTCCCCCTTTTTATTTGCAGTTTGCCTAATTCAATTTCTTTCAGCTGTCTTTTAATTTCTACGCTAAAAAAAAAAAAAAAAAAAAA